TTTGACAGACTGTTGTTGATGGTTGCTGCTGTCCAGATATGGGACCAGCACTGCCTCAGGAAATGCCTCAACCTGACTGCTCTCAACAAACACGGCAGAGTGTACGACGACGGTATGATGCACATTTCATGTTTTTACACGTGTTTTTTCCCCAAACAAGAAAGAAATCTGACATATCACCCAGAAATAGCTGAACATCACTGCCCAGTCACATCACCTGTAGTGAAAATCCTATAGTATTTTCCACTTTGTGACATATGGGGGCTATTATGTCCTTTATGGTTGGTGTTCATGTGGCTATATAAAATCTTATTGGTGTGTGTGGTGTATGTTTGTGTGTTTCCAGCCCAGTTTGCTGTCTGTCATGGTCAGAGTGTGAGAACAAACGCTGTATGTAGCCGAGAAGAGCACACATGTGAGGAGTTGCATGCAGGACGGTATTACAGACACACACACACGAACACACACACACACACACACACACACAGTCAGTATCTACACAGAGACATGTTTTTATGTACAAAATGTGTTGCACTTGTTTTTCTGGGTGCCAACAGGACAGGAGTGTGTACTGTGAAGACTGGGGCGAGGCTCTGACCAATAAGAGCGTTCCGGTGATGTGTGTGGTGAATATGCAGAGCGGCTCTGTCACCGTGCTGCAGGGCGTCCCGCCTGACGTCTCACCTGGACAGGTGAGGACAGAGAGACTTTCAGCTTTCATCAGACACATCAGGAAATATTTGTTAGTGTTTGGAAGTTAGATGCATCTGATACAAATAGTAGGATGTACTTTTGTATTTTGCACATGCTAATATTCAATATTTTTTCTGTTTTCTGGTATCTGTGTGTGTGTTGTTGTCCTCCAGGCTTTGTGGGCTCCCGGCAGTCAGTCTGTGTTTTTTGTTGGTTGGTACCACGAACCCTTCAGACTTGGACTGAAGTATTGCTCCAACCGCAGGTTAGATAACTGCTTTGTTTTCTGACTCAGTCTGAGTCTGAAAAACAGCAGCAGCAGCAACTGACACACTGAAATAAACAAAACAAAGTCAAGTTAAGTTTATGTATACAGCCGGAAATCACAAGGTTTTGACATCAGAGTAATAAAAAAGTCAGGGACAAATCAAGTTTCAGGGAAAATTGACATTGAAATGATATTTTGCAAGACATACTCGGATTACATGTAACTGTTACTGTATGTAATCACGATACAAAAAAAGTGTAACTGTAATCAATTACAGTTACAGACAAAATGACGTAATCAGAATTGGGATTCTTTCGCAGGATTACAATTGTAAGTTACATCAGTTTTTCTTGAAATATACCCTGGGCAGAGGTCACATGTTTGATGCTTAAAATCCTTCCATTTTCCATTTCTTCCATCTTCACTTTCTTTAACGCTACATGGTCCCGTTGTCTAAGAGAATACACTTGCATCAATACTTCTTTTTTCATTACATTTATTTTCTCTTGTTGAGGTTATCCAAAAGTAACGGAAAGTCATCAAGTTACTTTACTTTAATATTGTGTTACTGACTACATTATTACACTAATTACTGCAGGTAACTGTATTGGATTACATTTTTAAAGTGACCCTGGACATACTGTATATAAAAGCTCTACCACTGATTATATTTACATAACATGAGTCAACGATAATTGTCATCACTGTCTAACTTTCTTGTGTATGAGATATGCTGAATTGAAACTGAAAAGGGAAATGGAAAACAGCAGCGACTGAGCAGAAAGAGCTGAAACCTTGTTTTTGTTTCCAGGCACCAATAAAATATTTAGCCCACTGAGTTATGTAAAAGTATAGTTTATTTGTAGAGCAGGCCTCAAACTAAACAGTGGAAATTACAGTTTTCAGTTTCATTTTGTGTCTTTCTCGTAAAATTCTCTTTCAGGTCAGCGTTATTCAAGCTCGACCTGGATGGGAACTGTGGTGAGCACATTGTCTTTGTCTCCTTGTTCATGAACCAAACACACACACAGACACTCTCCGCTCCGCTCATCTGATCCCTGTGCATCCTCCTCCCTTCAAACCAGAGTGTCTGTCTGGGGACAACCTGTCTGTGTCCTGTCCCAGGCTGAGTCCAGACGGGTCCACGCTGATCTACCAGCAGGGTCAAGTGTTTGGTCCTCACAGCCAGTGCCTCAGTCTGCAGCAGGTATAGTATGTGTGAGTGTGTGAGTGTGTGTGTGTGTGTGTGTGTATGTATCCGTGTTTTCCTTCTGTTACCAGTGACTGTCAATCCTCCACAGTTGGACCTGAAGAGCGGGAAGACGTCCACACTGTTGGATGTTGTCAACAGACCGCAGACTGGTATGTTGCATTCCGTTAGCTTTTAGCCACACTAGCGGTGTGGCTCTAGGGTTGGCAGTGTCAGATGTTTTACTTTTTTAAACACACATTCATGGTCCCCAGAGGACGATGTTCACATTTTCACTGCACACATGTTAGCCAGCTGGTGTTATCCTTCGCAGCCTCACAGAGCGGCTAGTGTGTCTGTAGCTGCAAAAGTGTTCTCCAATGTGTTTATAATGAAATACAGTAATCCCAGAGGTATCATTAATACTGGTATTTTAAAAGCTTTTTATTATTATTGTCCCTTTTCCAGCTAGTAATGCACATTTACAAATCGGCATCTTCTTTTCATGTTAACTGCACTGACTTGAATATACTGATCCAGAGCTTTACTTATAAATGCAATGCTTGTTTGGCTTATTAATGTCCACTTTTTGTAGTGATTGTCAGGGGGATTCCTTAAATAGTCTGTTTTAGTGATCGACCGATACATAGGCCGGCTGATTTAATCGGTCGATTTTTGCGTTTTTTACGTGTATCGGCAGACCATGCATAGCCCCTCCCCACTAGGAGAGTGCTGGAAGCCTGCTCTTCAACACAACGCTAAGTTTTAAACTTTCAAAGCATCTTTTAACTGTTTAACTTAGCTGAAATATTGCCATAAGAATGCCAAATGCATGCTAGTATGTGTTTCTGCTTGAAATATAGCTAAGCAAGTTTGGGCGTCCAAATAGTAAAATGGGAATGCCGAATGCTTCTTATAAAACTGCTTGCCCATTGTGATGGCTATTATGTCAGTTCATACGGTATGTTACGGAACACTGCTCATAGAGATTAAGTACTGCCCGACGTTGGTCTCCCCGTGGATGTTGTATCAGTTTATTAGGCGCCCGACCACCTGGCTTGGAGGTTTGGACCGGCGCCGTGGTCGTCCTGTGTGTTCTCTGCCCCTCTCCCCGCCTAGCCTCCTCGGCCGGCCCGGTGGTCGTCGCCTTTCAGTGCGTCCTGCGCTGCTCCTCTCCCCTACTGTATGGAGCGGCCGGGCGCGGTTCCCTTCTGCCATCGCCGGTGATAGTCATACCAGCGCAGACCAGCCCCCACTCGAACGACGCCCGCGTTTAATGACTGAGGAGACTATGTGTTTATACGTAGTTGAATCAATGAAAACAAAAAATGTCGCTGGTGTACACGGTTCTGATGATCGCTAAGCGCCAGACAACTGGCACCGCGATGGCCCCCTCTTTAGAGCGGTTAAGCCGTGGATCTGCAACGTGTAGCGATTACAAGTCCAGTCTCAATGGTGGTTAAGTTTTTCCAGTCCAGCGTCAGCCTACCAAACCTACACAACAAACTGAACCTGATTTTTTTAACTATTTTTTAAATTTGGTTTACGTTGTTCCATCTTGTGTTCTGCCTCACCGTCAGAATTTATTTTCACCTTTTTTAATTTCAATAAATGTTCCTTTTTTTAAAATTGAGACTCGTAACATTTGTTATCATTGTGTCATTTTTATGATGTAAATTGAGGGAGCAAAAGTAGTATCGGCTCCAAATATCGGCTCAAGAAAATCGGCAGTCCATATCGGTATCGGCTAAGGCTGGTGGAAAAAAAAAAAATCGGTATCGGCATCGGCCCTAAAAAATCAGTATCGGTCTATCCCTAGTTAGCAAAAACTAGAATATCCCGTAAATGATGCATTTCGGCATCAGAGGCTGGTTGGCGCTCAAACGCAGTCAAAGTAGATGGCCACTGTTTCTTTTGATGTGAAGATGAAACCATATTATCATCACTATGTTGTTGCTGCTGTTTACATTCCCACTGATGCAAATCAAAACATGCACTGCACAATTATTTCCTGGGTGTATACGTCTTTGTATTTATATATTTATATAAATGAGATAAGATATAATATACCTTTATTAATCCCCGTAGGAGAAATTCCAATTACACACAGCTAAAGCATTCATACACATTCACACACCGATGCATCGAGAGCGATTCAGGAACGATTCTTGCTCAAAGATACTTCAACACGTGTCGGGAGGAGCCGGGGATCGAACCAATAACCTTCCCATTAGTGGACGACCTGCCCTGCCTCTGAGACACAGCCGTTGTGCGACCTTGTGTTGTATAATGACAAAATAAATGACCTTGTGCCTTGTAGTGAAACGCTAGTAGTATTTTAAATGACTATTAAGGTTGTGTTTAGTTATGTTAGACTTGGCTATCTACACGCAACAGTATAGTCACTACTAGTGATAAACCAATTTGGTTGGTCAATTAATCAGGCCAATTATTTGGCATATTGAGATAATCAGCATCAGTCAATGTCTGCGCTCACAAGGCCGATAAATAAAAATGTCTTCTGACACATATGCGGACAGCCTTGTCACTCACTGCTGTGGAACAATGTTAGCTCACCTCCTTGTGAGTTTTGGGAAGGTGGTGAAAAAATTTGCTTCGAGCCCAGTACTATAACTCTCACGCATCCTGCTGAGTTATACCTGAATTTCCTATATAATCGAATAGAATTACACATGACTTTTCTTTGTTTTGATATCCTCATTATAAGCAGAAAACAATAATCATTTTATTTTCGTTACACCGCTAGATGCCACTAAATCCTGCATACTGGACCATTCATTATTAGCAATCATATAGTATAAGTAGGTAGGGCAACACATTTAAACATACCTTATGATGGATCCAATATTGGGATAAAACTTGGCCATCAGGACACCAGCTCCAACAATTAAGATGTTCAAAGCTAGAACATGGAAGAAACTGAAGAGAGACAACATGAAAACCTATGATATGCTGAAAGATTGCAGACTTACTACCCAAAAGACTGAAAACTGTTAGAGTTAATCTGTAATCTTCATTCTTAATGCCAAAAAAAGCTGGTTTATGAATGCCAAATATAAAATTCATATTGTAAAGATTTTTTGTTAATGTTATTTGTCTTATAAATTATATTTTTGTTATTATCCTGCTCATTTGATATTTAATCCTTTCAATATGAAACACTATATAAATAAATCTTTCGTAACTGGACCTGCTATATAAATTTAGATACTAGTTTTTATTAAATAGTTAGTCAATAACTATTTCTTAAAACTAGTTCCTAGTACATGCTAAATGGTTGCCTATTTTCATATTCCGACAAAGAGAAACATTAGCATTAACATGAATCTGAAGTCCAACATTTACTATCTTTCAGTTGTTTTGGTCTCCACCAACTCCTGATAAAAATAGCGGGCTGTTTAGCTGACAGATGCCCAGTTAGTCTCTAACTGTGTCTGTCTGCTGTTTGCTGCTGAGCAGGTAGTGTGGCTCAGACCCTAGCGCACTCTGACCTACGGGAGCCCAAAGGGAGCGCCGGTGTTGTGGAAGTTCAAGAGAAAACCGATTTTAGCTAAAAATAAATCGTGTTTAACTACGAATTTGAAGTTAATCGATAAAATCGATTTATCGCCCAGCCCTAATGACTATTATTGGTAGGGCTGTATTAAATACACCCTCCGGAAGGTCCAAAAAGTACACGATTAAGACAAGTGAACATTACAATTTGAAATAAAAAATGGTTCAGATGTACTAATGTAATAATTTGAGGGACTGCACTCACAAATTTCAAAGAGAAAATTGCATGGGCTTTCAAGTAAATGTGGAGAAGGCAGCCATGCATTAGGACACAGCTAGTGAATTTCAGGCTAGTAATATTTTACCAAATCTTTGTTTATTTTTGTTAAATTGAAACACATTGTTGTACAAAATATCAATTATCAATATCAGTCTGCTGTGCAGATCTGCTTCCACAGAAGTAACAAGACAAGACCTTTAATGATAATATTTAGTGTTACCTGGGGTAATGATTGCCAAATATCTGGCCCATCATCTGGACCCGCACCAAGTATCCCAAAAGGGGGTAGACTGTGATCATCTGGAACAACAGGAAGGTCCGAGCCACAAACACCATCACATCACTGCTGGGGAAGTTATCTAGGAAGTTCTGCAGAAGAGAAGAAAGCAGAGGGGGCTTTGTTTCACAAATCTGTGTAGAAGCTACAGTATAAAATAATATTGACTGTAAAGCTATATTGGTAACTATATTGGTATATTGGTAGCTTTTGACCAGCAGTTTGTTATTCTCCAATTCAGAATTTTGGAATATAATCTGTGTTTCTATGTGTATGTCTATGTAATGAATACTCAATACATACAAGTGAAAAAGAAGCATTTTTATATGTCAAGTTGAGAAAATGAGAATGCATCTGAAGAACTTTGATTGAACTTGGATTTTAAGTCTTCCAAAATACTAAACTGCTCTTATCCCTCTTAGCTAACATGTTCTGTACTGCAAAATTTTTTGTTTGTAAACAAGATTATAATTATTTATAATAATTGCAAAATGAAGTTGCTAAAGTAAATTTAATCCAGTTGTAATTAAATGTCAAATGATGGCAAGTCTTTTAGCTATTTTATCTTAAGTACTACTCCTGCTAAAGGTCCAGTGTGTAGGATTTAGCAGCATCTAGTAGTTAGGTTGCAGTCTGAAACTCCCTTGCTTCACCCTCCCCTTCAAAGCACAAAGGGAAAACTACGGTGGCAGCGAAAAGCAAACAGCCCTCTCTAGAGCCAGTGTTTGGTTCAACATGGCAGCCAGACCCACAGCATCTACAGATATATACTACTGTAATAACCACTAATGAAAACATACCTATGAATATTATATTCCATTTCTGACAATAGATCCTCCCAAATGTTACACACTGGAAATAGGGATAATAATCAATCTAGTTTAGAGATTATAAATCAGACTCTTATCAAGGTTATGAGTTTCAGACCAAAATCCTATCTGGTAATACTAGGGCTTTCTTTGTACAAGGATGAACTGTGGAAAATGTCATGGCCATTAGGGCTGCAGCTATCGAATATTTTGGTAATCGAGTATTCTATCGAATATTCCATCGATTAATCGAGTAATCGGATAAAACATACTTGGACTGGACCTATCTATCATGGTGGGAGTGTTGACTTTGCTGGGGCCTTTCCCGCACCTCACTCTCTTCAAAGACTGCATTGAACCGGTAAGGATTTACACTTCAGTTAGTCTTGTGGTGGTTTTTATTCAATTTTCTAACCTCTGGTCTCTAAGGTGTTTATGTTTTTTGCCATCCCATAAATTTGAACTAAACTTCACCATGGAATGGGTAAACCTTAGGCAAAGATAAGTCTTTTTTCCTGACATTTTTATTTTTTTTATTTTATTATTATTTTTTACTTTTGGTAACGTGTGTGGATTAGTGATTGCTGTGGGTCAGGGTTTTTTCCAACCCGCGGGTCCCGCATTTATTTAAATAAATTTGAACCGCTCCATCCCGCCCACCACAACCGCATTTTCACAACCCGCCCCGCTGCTATTAAATAAAAAAAACTTTTAAATATGTCTTATTTGGTCTGACAAATGTGCTTGAAAAACAGCCCTTCGAGTGGCCCACTGGAAACTGGGCAACAACAAATTCAAATCTTAATAAAAAATAAATATATATAAGTATAAAAAATAAAATTAGGCTTGCGTTTGTGTAGGTATTATTTGCAATAAAAAGAATAAAAGAACATATTAACCACATAGGGGTAAAACAGAGCATCCAGCTACAGGCTACACCTGTTTCTAAAGGGTTTTCTCTATAGCACATAATATAATTATTGAACGTGTACCACTTTATGGCTATTTTCATGAAGGCGATGGCATTTAACGTTTTTGTGACGTCAGGTCGCAGGTGGATTTTACTCAACAGTGTTGTTAAGAAGTAGGCTGTATTGGCATATTTAATCTTAATGACCGGGACCCAACCGACGCAGGTAACCGCGAGACCCGCGGGTTACGGGGCAATACCATAACAGCCGATAACGTTATGTTAAGTTTGAAGTCATTTTATTTATTTGTATTGGAAATATTTGACTGAAAGGTTTACTACTTTGCATAATAGTATAATATATAAATGTCAATTTTTCTTAAAAAGGAACAAATTGGTTGTATTATTAAGTGATTGTCTTGTTTTCTATTGTATATTTATAATGGGTTTAATTAAGC